GGCACTCAAAGACCTCCGCGTAATTAAGCGACCGCGCGCACGCGCCCGCGCACCCGCGCCTGCGAGCCCGCCGCGCAATTGCTACTCAAGACGTTGAATGTCTGAGACCTCGTCCCCGACTCCCTTCCCCCCCCTTACCCCCCCTCCACCCCCTCTTCCACTCCTCTCCTCCCCTCCACCCTCCTCCCCCCCCCCCCCACCTTCCCCCGCCTCCTCCTCCTCCCTCCTCCTCCTCCTCCTTCCTCTCCTCCTCTCCATCCCCATCCTCCTCCTCCTCTCCTTCTCCTGCTCCTCCCCCTCCTCCTCGTCCCCCACCTCCTCCTCCTCCTCCTCCTCCTCCTCCTCCTCCACCTCTATTCCGTTTCTTTATAAATTACATCTCGCTGTCGCACCCCGAGGCCAGTTTTTAGTTCGGACCGAGCGTTTCGCCTGAGACGTCCTCACCGTTATGACACTGGAGCTTAAAAGTTGACAACAGGTTCACAAATGGAGGGCGGGTGGTTTTCAAAATGTGGCTCGCTCCTCAGCGCCGCGCACATTCGTTTTTAACCATTTGCCAGAGGTTCACGGATTGAGGACGGTTCCTTCTCAAAATGTGGCTCTCGCCTTAGCGCCGCGCACATTCGTTTTCAAACTTTTGCAAGTGCTTCACGGCTTGAGGGCGGGTGGTTTTCAAAATGTGGCTCCAAGTTTGCGAGAGCGTCACGGACTGAGGGCGTTCCTTTTCAACATGTGGCTCTCGCCTTAGCGCCGCGCACATTCGTTTATGACACTACAGGAGCTTCACGGATCCCCGTGACCAACGTACCAAAAATGGTGTTCCGAAAAGATTCAGGATTATACGGTTGCGACAATTACGTGGGTTCGCGGTGTTGAAGACCCAGGAATGGCGTTCTGGCATGATCCACGCTCGTCAAGACGCAGCGGTCAAGTTGGTCCTTGGCGCTGGAATCCCGAGATCAATGTGTCGGCACGCGTCAGAATATTTAAACGGCTGTCTTCCGACGAGGCAGTTCCATCAGTGGGAATGAACCGTTGTAGGAGCCTATGAAGAGGGAGCTTGGAGGGAGGGGTTATGCCAACATCGTTGATGACTTTTGGGTTTACACTGGTCCTCCTCTTCCTCCTCCTCCTCCTCCTCCTCCTCCTCCTCCGCCTCCTCCTCCTCCGCCGCCCCCTCCTCCGCCTCCGCCTCCGCCGCCTCCTCCTCCGCCTCCGCCTCCGCCTCCGCCTCCGCCTCCGCCCTCCACCCTCCGCCCTCCGCCCTCCTCCCTCCGCCCTCCGCCCTCCTCCTCCTCCTCCTCCTCCTCCTCCTCCTCCTCCTCCTCCTCCTCCTCCCCCTCCTCCTCCTCCTCCCCGTCCTGGTCGGGGAGAGGCACTGTTGGGCCTCCTCCTGCGCCCGCGTCAGGCCCTCGGGCTCTGGCGGCATAGCCGCCCGCCCGCGGAGGGGGGCGGGGGGGGGGACCGCCGCAGCGCCGCCGCTGGAACAGACGGAGGACGGTCGAGTGGGTCAAGGGTCGAGGATCAAGGGTCGCGGGGGGGGAGGAGGGGGAGGAGGAGGAGGAGGAAGAGGAGGAGGAGGAAGAGGAAGAGGGGGAGGAGGGAGAGGAGGAGGAGGGGAGGAGGAGGAGGAGGAGGAGGAGGACGATGAGGAGGAGGAGGAGGAGGACGAGGAGGAGGAGGAGAGGAGGAGGAGGGGAAGGAGAGAGGAGGAGGAGGAGGGAGGAGGAGGAGGAGGGGAGGGGAAGGAGAGGAGAGGGAGGGGGAGGGGGAGGGGGAGGGGAGGGGGGCGGCGAGGAAAAAGGAGGAGGAAGAAGAAGAGGAGGGCCCAGCATTACAGAGGAGGAGGAGGAGGAGGAGGAGGAGGAGGAGGAGGAGAAGGAGGGGGGTAAGCCCTCACGGGCACCTCTGCTTTAACCATTTCTGTTTGCACCTCTGCGTCCGCACTGGCAGCAGCTTTTTTGTTATCAGAAGCCTGAGTCGGCGTCACTCCCCTTTTCCTCGAGGAACGCATCAAGCCATGCCTTCATGTCCGCCCAACGTCAAAAAGGCGGGGGGGAGGCAGGAGGAGGACCAGTGCAAGCCCAAGACGCATCAACGATGTTGCAGGAAGCCATCCCTCCAAGGTCCCTCTTCACAGGTCCATACAAGACGATGTTCTTCAATTGTTTTTCACGGGTCCCTAAGAGAATTCGGAAGCGCCCAAGAGGGGGGTGTCCAAGAGGGGTGGGTACAAATCATGACCGGCGGCATGTGCGCGGCCCAAGGGGGGGCCAGGGACGTAATGAAATAAGCGGCGCCATGAAACCTGGGGAAATATCATGGCCCCCGCCATGATATCCACCCCCCCTAGTCATCACCCCCCTTCTTTTTCCGCCCCCAAGAATACTCAGTCGTACCCAGCACACATTTCACGGGATTCCAACGCCGCGAATCAGCGCCACGGTTGCGCCCTGGCAGTCCTTCGTCATGCCAGAACACCCTCCCGGGGCGTAAACGCCCCGAGTCAAAGTGACTGGTGTGCCCTGACATCAAGGGGCCCTGGGACGCACAAATAAATACACACAAATAACGAGATTCCCCATAGTTTCCTATATTTTCTGGGTTTTTGTCTTCCCCCCCACTTCCCATATTTTCCTATATTTTCTGGGGAATCGACGATTAATTTCCCCTCCTGATGACAACCCGACAACGTGCCAGAACACGAGTCTGGGGCGAGGCGAGGCGCCGGTGTGTCGCCCCAGAGGGGGCGGCCCTACGAGAGCCCGGCGGTGGCGCCAGAGCGCCGAGAAGTTGAAGCCCGCTCAGATAGCAGGATCGGAGAACGAGCAGGCGTCGGAGTCGGAAGGTCGAAGAGATACGAGCAGGCGTCGGAGCAAAAATGCGAGCAGGCGTCGGAGTCGGACTCGAAGAAATAAGAGGAGGCCTCGGAGTCGGAAATATCAGAGGCGTCGGGGTCTGAGTCGGAGAAATAAGAAAAAGCAGGCGTCGGAGCTGGAAATACGAGCAGGCGTCGGAGCCGGAGTCGAAGGGAGAAAGGTAAACGTAGGAGCAAGAAATGCGAGCCAACGTCGGAGCCATACGAATGTTTGAAACGGCTGCGAACTTGAAAGACGAACGCGGCGGCGCCAGGGCGAGAGCCACATTTGAAAACCACCCCCGATCCAATCCTCAAGCCGTTGCGAATGTGTGAGGCCAGTGTGAGAGGCGCTGAGGCGAAAGCTACATACATTGTAAACACACACCTGCCTTCCATTCTGCAAAATATTGCAACTTCAAGCTTCAGGAATAGAAGTGGTGAGCGAAACGCCTGGCCCGCCCTACTGACATGTCTGCGGGTGCGACAGGGACGAGTTGCTTATAAGGAAAGGGATAGAGGAGGAGAGAGATGGAAAGGAGGAGGAGGAGGGAGATGGGGCGAGGAGGCCGAGGAGGACGACGAGGACAATGAGGGAGGAGGCGCGGGAGGAGGAGGAGGACGAAAGGGAGGCTGACGACGACGACGACGAGGAGGGAAGAAGGAAGGAGAAGGGCGGGAGAAGGGGGAGAGGCGGGCGGGGGAAGGAGAGAAAGGCGAGGAGGCCAAGAGGAGAGGCGGCGAGGATCGGGGCGCGTCTTCGACCCGCCCGCGGCCCCCCCAACACAACGTCTCAAGCGAGGAGCGCGCGCTCCCGTCGCGGGCTGCGCTGGCTGTGGCCCCAGAGGGCGGCAATGCTCGGCCACCCCACAGGGGCGACCCGCCACCGCCCCGAGGAGGAGGAGGAGGAGGAGGAGGAGGAGGAGGAGGAGGAGGAGGGGGAGGAGGAGGAGGAGGAGGAGGAGGAGGAGGGAGGAGGGGGAGGGGAGGAGGAGGAGGAGGAGAGGAGGAGGAGAGGAGGAGGAGCTGGAGGAGGAGGAGGAGGGAGGAGGAGGAGGAGGAGGGAGGAGGCGGGGGAGGGGGAGGGGGAGGAGAAGGAGGAGGAGGAGGAGGAGGAGGAGGAGGAGGCGGAGGGGGCGGAGGAGGAGGAGGAGGAGGAGGAGGAGGAGGGAGGAGGGGGGGAGGGGGAGGAGGAGGAGGAGGAGGAGGAGGAGGAGGAGGAGGAGGAGGAGGAGGAGGAGGAAGAGGAGGAGGAGGAGGAGGAGGAGGAGGAGGAGAGAGGAGGAGGAGGAGGAGAGGAGGAGGACGGGGGGGGGGGGGGGCGGCGCTCGTGGCCCGACCGCAGGCGCGGGGCTCGCGCGTGAAGCCGAGGCGCAGAGCAAGGAGGCCCGATGCCCGTCGGTGCGAAGAGGTGCGTAGAATGCGAGGCGGGGATTTATCCATATCCACCGCCTGGGAACCGACGTCCTTGTGCCCTAGCGGGCGGTGGATATGGATATGTTTCGGCCCCCGGGGGCCCGAATATGTCCACATCCACCGCCTGCCGAAGCTCCGAAAACTGACCCTCCAGGCGGTGGTCATGTGTAAATTCCTGCCTGGGGTAGAAGCAGGAAGCGGGAAGTCGGGCACGTCCTCCTGCAGGCGGATGTCGCCAGGAAGATTCAAAGTTGTCAGACAAATACGCAAGGATACTACATAACAATAACTTTGTAAATCAAAAATGTAGGCAAATGTATACATATATATATATATATATATATATATATGATCTGTATACATTCATGCATTTAGAGAGAAAAAAAGAAACAACAACAAAAAACGTCTCATAACGATTGTTTGACCATGTTTGAATACTCATCATGTAGAGGGACACGCCCGACTGAAAGGAAGGCGTTGAAGCAGATTGGGCTGCAGCCCGACCCCCTGAAGAGCAGGAGAGAGAGGGAAGACCGCCCGACCCTTGAAGTAGGAAGGCAGCTAAGACAAACTGGGATCTGGGCATCCAGAAATGCCGGCTTCCAACGACTGGCGTGTGAGGGTGCAAGGGCCTCGGAGGGCCATGCCGGCGTTGCCGAACCGGGTGGGCCGAGGGGGCAAGCATGCAAGGGTAGCCTTGGAGGGTCGCTCATCCTTACTCGGCCGCGCCCGCGCTGCCGAGGGCGGCCACTTGGGCAGGGGCCACCGCCGCGGCCCCCGGCCCGTCCGCGATGCCGAGGGCGATCACTCCCGCCTGCGGCGCCGCTTCCTCAGAAGTGATCGACGTTCCATGCGTGCCCCTGCTCGCGCCCCGATCCCGCCGCGGCAGCAGGGGGAGTAGGTTCCGCACCCTCCCTGGCGCCCAGCGGGATGGGGGCGGGCGGCAGCGCTGGCGCAGATCCAACGTCGATCCCCGACCTCGGAGTCCGAGGAGTCGATATCCCGCGGCAAGTAGCGGCAAACCACGCCCGCCAGCGGGACGCTCCAGTAGGGGCCCGCCTGACGGAGATCCCCGGGAGGTCCCGACATCGCACCGAACGGCCGAATTGGGCCTTCCGGCGCAAGTTTTCGGGGTCCCGACACCATGCCAAACGGGACCTCCCGGGAGAGACCCCAAGGGGGCAGGTTTTCGGGTGCCCGGTGCCAAAACAAATTTCCGGACCCACCCACCATGTCTGATGGGATCTCCTAGGAGACGCCACACCAAACGGGATCTCCCGACCCATGCCAAACGGGACCTCCCTGGGAGGCGCCCATGGGCCCGACACCATGCCAAACGGAACCTCCCGAGAGAAGCCACAAGCGGCCCGACTCTGCCAAACTGAATTTCCTGGGGAGGGTATTCGGGGGCCGACGCCAGGCAAGCCAAACGGAACCTCCCGGGACCAAGTTTTCCGGGACCTCCCGTGGAGGCGCCCGGGCCCGACACGCGCCTGGAGGTCGCACTCCGCGAGGTGGGTCAGCGTTTCCGGCACCCGCTTCGCGCGCTTGCGCGGCGGCGAGGGGCCGTCTGCCTGCATCCAGCCCCTCCAAAGAGCCTCGCCTCTCTACTCCGAGGTCCCCGCCACTCGAGAGGCAGCGACGGCGACGATGGATGCGCCGACGCCGTTGGCGGCGCCTGTGAATAGTAGCAGTGAGAACGATGGTGGCAGAGAGGAGAAGAAGGAGGGAGGGAGTGCGATGACGGTTGCGATGGCGAGGAGTACAAGGAGAGGGGGAGTGCGATGACGGTTGCGATGACTAGAAACGCGCGCAATCTCGACATGCGCGCGCCGCGCGCCAATGTAATATCAGCAAATGACGCAGCTCGGGGCAACCCCGGAAGCACCCGAAATTCGAATTACAAAAACGCAGCTGAACCAAGACCAAGAGTTCGCTGAACCGCATGAAGGCCGACAGGCGGCCTATTCGAGTCCGAGGAGATGGCGCAGCGTCCGGCTGCTGTTCTTGTACTTCGACCCTGGCCTCGAAGCCGTTCCAGTTGCGCGCCTCGTAGTTCATGATGAGACTCGCGCAACGCCGCATCCAGCCGCCAGGCTCACCCTTGCCACGCGGCGCCCACCCCGCGTCGCCACCATGGCCACCCTTGCCACGCGGCGCCCAGCCCGCGTCGGAGCCAGCGCCGCCCGCGTCAGAGCCAGTGCCGCCCTGGTCGGAGCCAGTGCCGCCCTGGTCGGCGCCCTTGCCCTTATCCGAGCCCACGCCGCCCGCGTTGGAGCCAGTGCCCTCGTTGAGCATCTGCTCGAACGCGTGATGGCCCGACATCACCGATACCCCGTCCGATTGTGACGTCGCCCACCACGGGTAGTGCAGGGGCTGCATGGGCGCGTCCTCGAAGTCGCCTTCCGCCGCGGCCCAGAACAGGATCTTCCCGTCGGTGGCAACCTCCTTCCGACCCTGCACGGTAATCCACAGCGCGTCCGCAGCGTACCATCCGTCCGCGGCACGGAAGATATAGAAGGTGGTCTCCTCCCCTTCGTCGACGATCTTGTCGATCGACTTCCATATGCACCCTCCCGAGAGCTGAACACCTGTGTTGAAATACATGCCAGCCGACATCTCGACCATGCGCAGCGTGATCTCCTCGCAATTCTGGAGGAACGTGCTGCACTTATCATCGTCGTCCACAACGACGGCCAACGCGGTGTGCTGAAAGGCGTTGTACTCCAGCGCTCCAACCTGCTCGGCGATCTCGGCGAGGAATGCCGTGTCACCGTCGAGGTTGGGATGAGGAAAACAAGACATGTCGGTTCTCTCGGCCCTCCTCCACGCCTCATCGTCCTCTAGAAAAACCGAGGAAGGAGACGGGGAGAGAAGGATCTGTATATACTGGGTTCCTCGTCCCAACTGTCTTCGCCCGCTGGCGTCAGCCTCAGCCTCTTCGGCGGCGGCATCGACGGCTGCGTCGGGCCGCGCCTGGGGCTGCGCTCCGCGACGAGGTCCCTGCCGCGGAGCCTGTCCATGGGGAGGCCCGCGCGGGCCCGCGCGGGCCCGCGCAGGAAGCAGCGCGGCGCGCGCCCTCGCCGTGTTTCCATCCAAAACGGCTGATGCGGAGGAGGCGCATGGAAGATGTGCGGACGAGGAGCCGAACCTTGGGAGCGAGGAGAACGACGGCACATACGAAATGAGACGGCGCCGCAGATGGCGAATCCTCCTCCTCCCTCCCCCCGCCCCTCCCCCTTCTCCTCCTCCTGCCTCGTCCTCCTCCTCGTCCTCATCCTGGCAACTGCTTGTGTTGAATAAGATTTACGCCCCTCATCATCCTCTTCCTCCGTTTGACGAGATCTCCTGGGAGAAACCCCGAAGAGCCCGACACCACGCCAAACGGGATCTCCCGACCCATGCCAAACGGGACCTCCCTGGGAGGCGCCCATGGGCCCGACGCCATGCCAAACGGAACCTCCCGAGAGAAGCTCAAGGGGCCCGACATCGTGCAAAACTGAACTTCCTGGAGCGGGTATTCGAGGGCTCGACGCCAGGCAAGCCAAACGGAACCTCCCGGGACCAAATTTTGATGCCAAACAGAATCTCCCGCGAGGGCGCCCGGGCCCGACACGCGCCTGCGACGGGGGTGCCCGGTGGTCGCGCTCCGCGAGGTGGGCCAGCGTTTCCGCCCCCCGCTTCGCGCGCTTGCGCGGCGGCGAGGGGCCGTCTGCCCGGAGACGTCTAGTTGCCGCCGCGGCTTCGATTCAGTCAGCTCTAAGATTGTTCGGGGTCTTGGGGCGAACGCAACTCGCGCAAGATATGAGATGCTGATATGGGGATATATAGGGTTATCCATATGTGGACATGTATGATCAACAAGAATTTTGATCACATCGCAAGGCCGATGGACCAATGTACTTAGCGAACCCTACTTGACACGTCAAACACGTGTCAAAAATGCTTCAGGACCACTCCGACCGCCAGGCTAATGCCGACGGGTCGAAGAACAGCAGCCGATTTCAGAGGGCCTTACCGAGCCGATCCCTAACAGAGCCTGGTTCACCACGACGCCGCCATGCCGGCCGCGGTTTTATTCTTCCACCTGGACGCCGACGACGATGCACGACACTCCGAGGAGAGCTCTTGGACCGCTGGGTCGTGCTCCTCGGCGCAGAGGAGGCCTCCGAAGCGGGCGACCCCGAGCCTGCCGAGGCGCGTTGCCTGCACGTCAAGAGCCGCGTGGCGGCACGACTGCGCGACGACAATGGAAACGCGATCGTCCATCATGGGGGCCGCCCCAATGAGGAGCTCGAAGATCCTCCTGTTCCTGACAGCGGCTGCGCCCTGGAAGGCCCGGAAGGTCGGCCTGACTGTCACGTTGCTGGACAAGACCTCCTCCACGTTTTTACCGAACTCGGCCCAAGGCCTCCACCTCGACGCGGGGGCACCGGCCGGCCGCCAGCAGGGCAAAGCGATCGGGCGCGTCATCGACGGACCCATGGGTCGACGTGTGCACGCGGATCTCGCTCCCGCCGACCAAGTCACCTTCAACGATGACCTCCGTTATCCACAAGCCGCAGGGCGACGGGCGCGCGCTGGCTTCATGGTGGCCCGGACCTCAAGCCGAGGCGGGAGGCTCTCGTCGAACGGCGTGCGCAGGAGGACGTGCTCGCCTGGCTGATTGACGTCAAACGAAGCCCCGATCAAATTCGTGACGTGGGGATCTCCCACGGCCGTGCTTGGCAGAAGGGGTGGGGCCCCAGTCGGGCGCGGCGTCGGCGCAGAAGTCGTGGCGGCTGTGGGCGAAGCGGTAGCGGGTGTTGGAAGAGGGCTTGGGACGGGCGTCGGCGCAGAAGTCGGGGCGGCTGTGGGCGAAGCGGTAGCGGATGCTGGAGGCGGGCTCGGGACGGCAGCGAAACGGTAGATCCCCGGGGGATTTACGTTCGAATGCATGCCGTAAAGGTAACCCCCCGAGACGAATCCAACAAAAAAACTTCCTCGCGTTGCTGTAACGTGATCGACAGTCGAGAAATCCGATCAATGAATACGGTTCACCCACGGCGTGCCGTGCCCAAATACGTAGCCGTAGACCCCGTCTGTGTAGCCAACGGTGAGAGTCACCTTGTCGTCACCCCCCACCTGTTTCACGGGCGGGTTATCGTCGTTCACGTTCAAAACTGACGTGGTCTGGAAGTCATTCAGATCAACTTTGACTACACACTGGCCCTGCCTATAATCTTCGCTGTAAGCGGGCGGGTGTGTATTAGCGAAGGCATGCGTTACGTATGCGTAGCCGCCAGTCGCGAAGCCTCCCGTCCAGCCTCGCAAGAACTGGTACTCTTGGCCCTCCGCGTGGGCGTACTGCGATGTAATATCTAACGTCTGGACGCCAGATGCACTCGAATCGGTCTTGTCCACCCTGGCAAGCAAATGGCAATTCGAAAAGACGCCCCATCCGTCTGATGAAAAACCGGTGTAATCTTGCCCACTTGCGCCCCCGCTCTGGCATGGGATGTAAAGGTGCGTATCCGTCTGGAAGATATCTATCCCCATGCTCTGGATTCCAGCATCTACCGCCGATATGTCAACATACTCGACCGATGCAACGTCGCCCCAGCCAGACACAGGAAACTTGATAGCGTGCGTGTGCATATTGTAGGGGAAGTCTGGCCATCCGAACTTTGTGACGAACTATAAATTGTTACCGTCTGTGAGACCTGCATTCAGGCGGCAGACGTGGTGACCTTGGTTGGCGATGGTGGCAAGGTCAAAAACTTCTGGATTCGTCAAATCTGGTAATTCATACCGCCAGATTTTCGAGTTGGCACATGACCCCCATGTTTCGTCCTTCTCTCCGAAATACACATGCCCACCGAGCGCAAATCCTCCAGACACATCGACATTTTTAAGTCCATACTCGTAGTGGATGTCGTAGCAAAATCGCTCACCGAAAGCGGGAATTTAATCATCTGAGCTGCGCGCGAGACCTTCATGTAGCCAAACTGCCCAGACGGATCGGCGAAATGACTCATGCGTAATTCGGGGCCGGGCTGGCTTAACGTCACCGGGCCCTC